TATATAATAATAATAATAACAATTAATTAATATTTTATGCTTTATACATGTATTTTGTGTAGTTTACAGTAAATTAAAAGTGTCCAGTATCATACTGGAAATATTGGCATAAGTTAAATTTAACAATTAATTTTACAAAATTTATTTTTGATATATCAGTGATTAGTATCATGTCATTGAACATGTAAAGAAATGAAACAAAATGGAGTGTATTTTATATTGACAGGTGCTCATACAACACCCAACCAACCAATATTAATAGTCTACCAATATCACCAACTACACTGTATAATATATTATATTTGTCACATGACATTAGTGTTACATGAGGCTAGTCCTCACATGATGGTATGTTGTATATGTTGATTCCTAATAGTTTGGTCTATGCTTTCCTCCTCAATTCATTACACAATAGACCTCCTTTAGTAATAGCCTCTCCTCTTAATGATGTAATATCTACTGGATCTGAACTAATGGACTCCATTATAGACTGAAACTTATGAGCCTCCCAAACTAATGGAGAGGGAGGGAAGGAGAGTATTGGAGTATATTGAGTATTAGGTACAACTGGAGGGGAGGGAGTTATTGAAAGATGTTACCTTCAGTAAAGGTTTTTTATAGGAACTAGGAAGATCAGGTAGCTGCCATGTTATAATTATTTTATAACTAGCCACACCTTTCAAATTTGAAATAATTTTATAAATTTTTTCAATTTAAAAATTTTTTTAAATTTGAAATTTTAAGAAATTTCTGAAGTCCATGCAAAGTAAGTTGTTAAAAATTCACTATTGGTAGTGGTTTGTGTGGTTGTTCTTTTCTGTGTTTATCAATCAATGTCTTCTTTTTATCTTTAAAAGTATCTATCAGGTGATGATAAAGGTATCCTGTAATCTCTATATATTCAAGTGATGGATGGATGAAGATAGTTTCATATAAATGTTGTACTAGTTCTATCCAGTTAGATTGAAATGACTCTCCATTATATTGACACCCTATCCTCAGTAGTCTGATGGTTGTATGTGACTGTAACATGTTAGTAACAGCAGGTAATACCTGTTCATGAAACAATGGTGTCATTATTTGCTTCTTCTCTTCCCAACTACAGTTACTGTATGACTGATCTGGTTTGAAGTTCACTTCAAGTTCTGTGAGATTGTTCCTTTGAGAGATGACATTAATAAAAGTTCTCATCTCTTCATTCAGTGGAATGGATACACTCAACTGCTGTAGACTGGTGTTGTGTCTGAGACCAGTTGTTAGGAAGGACAGGAATGAACTGGGAATGTCTCTATACCAATCATTAATAATCTCAAGGTATTTCAGTGTTTGGTTTTGTGTTAGCATCTCTTGTAGACTAGTACCCATACTGCTGATATATACTCTCTCCTCCATTATCCACACACTCAGAGCTTTAAGTGTAGTATTGGTTTGTAGGATAGTAAATAGTTCAATAGCACTCTCAGCTGTGTCTAGTGGTAAAGCAAGTGTATGTAGACTGGGATGAGAGAGAAATAGAAGATGTGGTGGGTATGGATCATGTAGTATCAGACAGTGTAATCCTTTGATATATGGAAGGAGTGATGATGTCATCAGTTTACCACTCCAACATTCCCTCATCTCTAGAGCAGTGAGTGGTGTGTTCACCTCTACTATATTCAGTGATGATGGAAGGAGTTCATCAGGAATGTCCAGTGAAAGAGCCTGTAATGTGTTGTTGTCCTTTAGCAACTGCTCTATTACCCCATCGGGTAGAGGAGGAGGAGGAGGAGGAGGAGCAAGATGCATATGCATTGTTAATGATGTTATTGTTTTATTTCTTGTTACTCCTCTAACAATACTGGCAATGGTACTTGTTATTCCAATACACACAATCTTCATTTCTTGTAGTGTTGAATTCATTTCTATACATTCCTCAAGTTCAGTGCACTTGTTTGTGTAGTGTGTATTGTCAACTGTTGGTATAGTATTAGGGCTCATTTCTAAGTGCAGTATCTTCAATTGAGGAAGATTGAGGAACTGTAACAATACAAAACAGGGAACAAATTGACCATTGGTTAATACACAGTAGCACTCCTGAATATTGTAAAGAAGAGATGGTTGTAAAAATTTGTGCAGTAAGTCATTAGTGGGTTGATCCATTAAGCATACCTCCAGTCTCTTACACCTGGTTTGTAGAGAGTTATTATTGGTTAGTCCAGCAGTGAAGACTGATAGTGGCTGGTTAAGTACACTGCCCAGGTGCAAGTGATTCCATGTTGTGTTGGAATTGTTGATACAATAACTGAGACACAACCAGTCAAACAATGATAAAGATAATGATACTGTATCTCTATC